CTGTAATAACATGATCGTACGTGCTTTTAATAAAAATATGAATTTATTACTTCAATGTTAATTAAAGTCCAAGATCTTCGCATTGAACGCGGAAGCACGCCATTCCTAGAAATTGTCACGTCCAATACAATATATAATGAGTCAAAATTATTTGTGTAAACTAGTGATGTCTTGGACAAGAGTCTAGCCAAGTGATGTCTTAGACAAGAGTCTAGCCAAGTGATAATGTCTTGAGAGTAGTTTTAGATATCATAAGTGGAGATTATGTCTGTTAAATAAAAGAAATAAATACTGTGTTTAATATTACAAGTGGATTTTTATATTAGAAAGCAGAAGTCTATCTCTTCCAGCAAATACCTTACTGAAAGAGCCCATTATTCTGAAGAGAGATATTATCAAACCAGTAAATCAAACATTACTACTACTGCTCGACCCAAGGCACCAGGAAAGGGTTGGACGAGTTATTACTATTGATCTGGAGCGTGAATCTACAACATCGGACCTCCGACCCATACCTAAACCCTACTACCAAACCTCATTATATCATTTCAATATATATATGTATATTTGTATGTGTTTGTACATGTATATCGTATATATATGTACTGTATATATGTATATTTATGTATATGTATTACGCTTTTGTATGTTTGTATAGATTTCTTTTTACTTTTTATTTCTTATGTTAGTATATCTGTTTAGTTATAATTGTTATTGTTGTTATAATTATATTACTTGTATCTATAGTTCTTTTTCCAATTTCTGTCATTTTATCCTGGTTTATATTAATTTCTCAATGTTCATTCTGTAGATCCACTGATGATGACATAAAATCCTATGTCGAAACGTTTGGAAAAAAAATTAAAGATTAACTTCTAAATCTTTGCCTTTTATTTGATGTATTGCCCTTGAAGAACTTTTTCATATTTCCCAACATCAAAACTAACTTCTTTAACATATATATATATATATATATATATATATATATATATATATTAAATTTTTTTATTATAATTTTTAACACATAATTTTTAACACATTGTTTTGTGTCATCTTCAGTGGACTCTAGATTGAAAGAACAGATAGAAATTATTAAATAAAACTAAAATATAAGAAGTGATATGGTATGAACTTACATGTAATTGAATTAATCCTAATTATTTCATATTATAATTGTTCACAATGCACAATCCTAATTATTTTATATTATAACTGTTCACAATGCAACAAAAAACCAATCCTTATCATTTTAAATTGAACAATATATAAATTTTTGAATGAGATTTTTTATGAGTTTGTAAAGTACATCACGCCGTACATTTCTGTGCTCCGATGCCGGTGACGACTGAATGTACGTCAATGTGCGAACCACGTGTTGAGGGTTAGGTACCAAGCAAACGAACTGACCAAAGAATTTAAGATTTGACAACGCGAGAGGGTACATATAGTGAAATATAAAAAGATGACAATTGTGAGGGTGGACATAATTTGTAAAATTGAGATAAAAATTAAAAGAAAAAAAAAAAAAGAAAAATTGGCATTAAAATTAATATAATTAAACGTCGATCATGATAGGTAACAATTTTAAAGGTATGAATTTCGAGACATTGTTTAAGACTACTTGGTAATTTTCGCACAGTAAGGAAGTATCCAATCTTTTGTTTAAACTATTTTTGTAAAGGTGTATCAGACAAGATTCTGAAAAGCGTCTTTGAGATGTATTCGGTTCGTGATATAAAATTGTGGCCACATCAAAATTGAAAATATGATTGAAACTTTGTATGTGGTCAGTTATCATTGTTTGATTTTGATTTTTATTTTTGGAATTGTTATAATGTTGTCTAAGACGTTTTTTTAGATGTTGTCCAGTTTCGCCAATATAAGTGGCCTCACAATTTGTACAGTCAATTTTATACACGATGTTAGAAATACGATCTAAACTTGTCGGTGATTTTAAGTTCGAAAATAAAAAGTTAAGGGTCTGATCAATATTGCAAACTAAACGCAATTCCGCGAATTCAAACAGTTTTTTCCAAATAGGAAAAAGATTTTTAATGTAAGGGAGACAAATAGTGCCAATAAACTTATTTTCTTCTTTTTTCTGAGACTCGAGGGAAGGATGATTATGTTTTGTGTAAAGGACAAAAATGCAAAGCTTTTCTGAATACGAATCGACGCGTAACAACAAATTTTTCATTAAATTAAAAAATTCTTATAAAATTAAATTCGATAAATTATTGCAGTCTAAACGCAACCGTTCAAAAATAGTTTTAAATAGTACACTGATAAACAAATGGCTAAAAAATCTTTCCAGCGTCACAATTCCAGATAGATTACTTTACATTTTTGCACTGGGTCCCAACTTTGCTATCCCCAATAATTGCCACAATTTAAATTTCATTAAAGTTTTAAGCAGACTAGAAGCTGGCCTGCATAATATCAAAAACCCTGAAGTAAAATCTAACATTCGTTCCCATTTTTGCAAAAATTTTCTCTCCTACATCAAATCCTTTAACTCCAAAAAAATTGTTGATTACAAAGATATTTTAAGAGACATAAAACTTTGTAAAAACTTTCTCAAAGATAATCCGAATATTTTGGTAACCAGAGCAGATAAAGGAAATGTCACAGTAATTCTCGACAAAACTACCTACTTAGAAAAAATCACTAGTCTAGTTAATGACACTAACGTTTACAGTCCTATCAATAGCGATCCTACAGATCGAATTAACCGCACGTTCCACAAATTCATTAATAATTTAGTTTCTGTTAAACAAATCCCACAAGACTTGTCCTTGTCGTTAAAAAACCTACATCCTAATAACCCAAAATTATACGGTCTCCCAAAACCAATGTACCTTTTAGACCTATAGTTGCAGATTTGAATTCTCCACTAAATAAATTTTCCAAATTTCTGAGCAAACCCCTCTCCTTAGTTGCGGTTAATTCTCCTTTCTTTATTAAAAATTCCTTTGAATTTGTCAACAAAATACGTAATACACAATTGCCCAACAACTCCCTCTTAATAAGCCTAGACGTAGTATCTCTTTTCACAAATGTCCCACTAGAACTAATTTTAGAGCCAATCACAGATAGATGGGATAAGATTTCTTGCCACACTACCCTTTCTCTTCATTGGTTTCGAGAGTCCATTAAATTCATAGTCGCGAATACTTATTTTGAATTCAATTCACAATTTTATACACAAATTTTTGGTACCCCCATGGGATCGCCTATCTCACCTGCTCTTGTTGAACTCTCTTTACAACACCTCGAAAAAAAACGTTTTTAAACTATCTAATGTTGAATTTTTTCTTTACTACAGATATGTTGATGATATAATTACTTGCATTCCTAAAAATAATTTTGATTCTTTACTAAAAAATTTTAACTCCTTTAATAAACACCTCACCTTCACCTTCGAAAAAGAACACAATAGGTCAATTAGCTTTTTAGATGTAAATATCATAAAAACTCCGGAAAATAAAATTATTACTAACTGGTACCAAAAACCAACGTGGTCTGGCAGATATCTCAATTTCCATTCTTATCATCCCACTAACATGAAAATCGGTACTATTATCAATTTAGTTGATCATGCTATTCTCTTGTCAGATAAAAAATTTTGGCCTTTTAACTTATCTCTAATCCACAGAACCCTATTAAATAATTGCTATCCTCCACATCTTATAAAATTAGTAATAAACAACAGACTTTCCGTCCTTAACACAAAACATAATCATCCTTCCCTCGAGTCTCAGAAAAAAGAAGAAAATAAGTTTATTGGCACTATTTGTCTCCCTTACATTAAAAATCTCTTTCCTATTTGGAAAAAACTGTTTGAATTCGCGGAGTTGCGTTTAGTTTGCAATATTGATCAGACCCTTAACTCTTTATTTTCGAACTTAAAATCACCGACAAGTTTAGATCGTATTTCTAACATCGTGTATAAAATTGACTGTACAAATTGCGAGGCCACTCATATTGGCGAAACTGAACAACATCTAAAAAAACGTCTTAGACAACATTATAACAATTCCAAAAATAAAAATCAAAATCAAACAATGATAACTGACCACATACAAAGTTTCAATCATATTTTCAATTTTGATGTGGCCACAATTTTATATCACGAATCGAATACATCTCAGAGACGCTTTTCAGAATCTTGTCTGATACACCTTTACAAAAATAGTTTAAACAAAAGATTGGATACTTCCTCACTGTGCGAGAATTACCAAGTAGTCTTAAACAATGTCTCGAAATTCATACCTTTAAAATAGTTACCTATCATGATCGACGTTTAATTATATTAATTTTAATGCCAATTTTTCTTTTTCTTTTTTTTTTCTTTTAATTTTTATCTCAATTTTACAAATTATGTCTACCCTCACAATTGTCATCTTTTTATATTTCACTATATGTACCCTCTCGCGTTGTCAAATCTTAAATTCTTTGGTCAGTTCGTTTGCTTGGTACCTAACCCTCAACACGTGGTTCGCACATTGACGTACATTCAGTCGTCACCCGTGCATCGGAGCACAGAAATGTACGGCGTGATGTACTTTACAAACTCATAAAAAATCTCATTCAAAAATTTATATATTGTTCAATTTAAAATGACAAGGATTGGTTTTTTGTTGCATTGTGAACAGTTATAATATGAAATAATTAGGATTGTGCATTGTGAACATTTATAATATGAAATAATTAGGATTAATTCAATTACATGTAAGTTCATACCATATCACTTCTTATATTTTAGTTTTATTTAATAATTTCTATCTGTTCTTTCAATCTAGAGTCCACTGAAGATGACACAAAACAATGTGTCGAAACGTATGGAAAAAATAAAAATGTTTTAAAGTCATACAAATTTTTTAATTGATGTATTGCCCTGAAAACTGAATATCATATATATATATATATATATATATATATATATATATATATATATATATATATATGTATACATACTTAATTTAATTTTTTTCAAATAGGACCTGGTGCAAGTCCTCACGGGATACTGAAATTAGCTACAAGAAATGTGCATGATAAATATCACTTTTTTGAAATGACATTGCAAATTGAAGAATTTCGGGATGACATGGAAGACTGTAACCAATGTAATGACACTCCACTGAAATGACACTGTGCATTGTAAATGTAGATCTTTTTGTTCTGTTAAATTTTACTTTTTTAATTAACAGTTTGTAATAATATGTAATTATAGATAAGATGTGTTCATAGAAATCTGTACATAAAACATCTAATCAAGTAGTATATTTTTCTATTAGCATTCCAAGATTGACCAACACTTATTTTTTGTGTCATGCAAATTGTACTATTTAAAATTATGTACAGCTCAATGTTATATTAATGATTACGATTTCATAGTTATTTTAATGATGATTGCATAAATTTGTGGTGTCTGAAACTCAGAGGGAAAAATGAATATGAGTATTAGTGAAAATATCAACACATCCTCCCAAATATGACTACAAATTCTATTTTGTGACTTTTAATTGTTTTTAAAATATTTTTTATAATTTTTGTTTTAGTAATCAATAATCATGGTAGTAATATTTTTATTGGTGCTTTTTGTAAGCGCTATATTGAAAAAGGTTTTGATATTGAATCTTATGTCATCTTCAGTGGCAATTTAACCTTGAATAAACAAATTAATCTTCTTATATATAAAACTGGAGCTCTGTATTATATTAGATTTGCTAAAGCTCTGATTTGACCAGTTTTAGTCTTGAAATATTCATGCTAATCTAGAGATTGTGCAAAAGGTAAGAAATTGCTTCAAAATCGCGTAGAAACTTTATATTTTTAATTCAAAAATATTTGTAGAAGCGTAATTCAAAATGAAACAATGAACGGTGGCTTACACGTCAAATGGTTTTGACTGATTATGTTCAATTAAATTTACTAGGATGTTTTTGAAGGATATTATTTAATTGTAATAAGTAGTTTTATTTGTATACAGAAACATTAGCAAATGCGTTACGAGTATTATATTGAATACTCAAAATATCAACTTTTTTGAAATGGTAATATGAAAATACACTTTTTGGCTTTATGTCACTCGATTTTTGCAAATCCTATTTTTTTTTCAAAGTCTTTACTCTAAAAGAACTGATTTGTATAATTTTATACTCATTTGTATTTATAGAACATTTTGTAGAATATATTATTATTTTATTTAGGATATTCAAATTAAGATCCTGAATTTTTAAAGAAGGGAACATTTAGTCGAATAAATTATTTCGTGTTATAACACAAAACCATTTAAATAAGAAGATTCGGCTGATAATACAAGTAATAACTTAGAACACACATCTGTAAAAATGTCAACAAATTACAAGATCTTCTGGAATGAAATATTTTAAAAATCTATAAAAAATTACATGAGGTTGGAAAAAGAGAATCCACTCAACTTTTACCCTGGCAAAGGTATAAGAAATAAGATAATAATAAATAAAATATATATTAAGTTAAGAAAGGAATCTCTTGCAAGATAAATTAAATTAAGAATTGTTCCAACTCTTTAAGGTCAAGTCACTCTATTGGCTTATTGGTCGTATCTCAAAGCTATCCCAGAGTAACAAAGTTCTGATACCCAAAGCTTTCATAAAACTCTATGAGATCTATAGTGTAGAACTGTGGGGATGCGACATGAATCAAGTGCTTACAGAGAAAACAGTCTAAAATTTTAAGACTCATCGCAAACGCGTCATAGTATTAGATCGATACTATAGTGTTAGAACGATAGTATCGATACTGAGTAAATATCGATCATTTGATGTCGATACTGAATACTTTTGGAATCGATACTTTGTGCCGATATTTTTGGCGGAATCAATATTTTACGCTGATACTGCTTGAAAAGTATCGGCAATATTTTTTGATCCCACCAAAAGCATCGATCGCATTTCATGAACACCGCTCATTCTTTTTTGTCGCGGCGGCACCGACTGCATAGATAAGTGAACAGGCGATAAGCCGAGTGCGATATGGTCTTTGTTGAAGAATATGTTTATGGAGTGGCCAGTTTGAAGCCACTGATTAACAAAGAAATAGAGTTTAAGATTACTTTATGTCGATAATATAATTTCTGTTACCCTAGAGACCACATTGTTATGCGCCGACACTCTTACCTATTTACCGTCACATTTATGCCTCTATGTGCATACTACCACATTTATTACTCTATGGACTCTACATCTCTCGAGTTCCACTCTACATTTTATGGACTCTGTATTTTCGGCTGGACAGAGGACCTCTACAATTATCACAAGGGCACATTCTCTCTCTGGTCTACAAAAGGAACACATAACCTTATAATAATCTTTAATTAAGTTCTGTATAACAATATCTATATTCTGTAATAAATTTATAAAACTTGTGTTGTGTTTTGAAATACCAAAATTATCTCCATCGCTGAAGGCAAATATTTAACATTGGTGGCAGCGGTGGGATGAACTGAAAAACAGGCCTGAATGTAAGGTAATAATTTGTAAATTTTACAAAATCAAGGAAAACACATCTACGTCATAAAATAAGCGAAGAAAGTATTCCGTATCGGACACGAGGATCGGACAGAAACGTATAGCGTGGAAAGCTTGTTGTATCGGACACAAGCCGCAGACATCCACAGCATATTCGAAGATATTTTGGCCCGAATTCCGCCATTACGGGATAATACACTAAAGCAGTGATTCCCAAACTTATTTCACCTACCGCCCCCTTTTCAGAAAAAATGTTACTCAGCGCCCCCCCTTACAAACTTTCCGAAGGAGAAGTTTGTTTTCATCAAAAAATCTGACTCGCTAATTTTATGTTTTCTCGACGTTTCAAGTCATTCTGAATCGAATGAGACCAATATTTGGAAAAAGTATGTGTGTGTGTGTGCGTGAACAGATTTTCTGCCGTAAATCGACGTTTTCTCAAAAAGAACTGGATCAATTTCAAAAATCTAATAGCCTTATATAACATTCGATGTATCTCGATGAGGACCATTGTTTGTCAGTTTTGTGCGACGATCGGCCAAGCCGCTTCTTTATAAATAGCAGAAAAGTGAAAAATTTTTCGTCCACGTTTTAGCCCGCAATTCTGAATGTATTTTGAAAATTCAAATACCGTTCAAAAGATATTGGTTGAGAATCGACCTGATTAGTTTTTGGTAATGATCGGCCGGGCCGTTTTCTTGTAATAAAGTGTTTTTATTAATATAAGTAGTAGTAGTTAATAAGTAGTAAAAATTTTTTAGACTATTTTTATATTTTTTTGACGGTCTACCACAGTCTTATAGACAGGTATACGACAGTCTTATAGATCATACTAAAATATTACGGTTCTACGACAAGTCGTTAAATTTTGAAAATTCGTCAAAGTTTGTCAAAATTAGAACTTTCAACGACGTTTGCTTAAAAGCGCATAAACCGATTTTAAAAATTCAGGAGCCAATCGATGTATTTCAATTATAATTTTAATGTGAGGGAAAAGGAATGACGGGGGGTGCGCTCGTACCTGCGGTTTGTTCGCAAAAAGTAATAATGGGAGTCGCGTTAAAATTCAAGCAATAGACTCGGAAATTAATACCATATCAAAATCACTATTCCAAAAATTACGCGTTAAATCTCAATCCAGAAGCCTTAAGCTCAACGGTGTTGTTGGAATTTCAACAAAATCGAATAATTTTAAAAATTTAGAAATATTTAATGAAGATGGTACATTTGAAAAAAATGAAAAAATTTAAATGCCTTTGTACTTACGAAAATATCGAGTTTACTACCCGCGCAGTAAATCCAAATTGCTGAACTAAATCTTCCTAATGGATTAAAACTTTTAGATTCACACTTAATTATTCCGCGTGAAGTAGAAATGTTGATAGGTGCTGATACGTTTTTTGAAATTTTAGGTAACGAAAGAATTATAATAGACCCCAATAAATCTGTTTTACAAAACGCGGCATTCGGGTGGACAGTTACGGGTAGATATCAAAGAAATATAATTAATTGCACGACAACTAATGATCATATATCCGCCAATCTTACAGATTCTCTTACAAAAAATCTCTTAATGAATCCCTTACAAAATTTGGTGAAGTTACACGCTTTGAAAAGTTACACAAATTATCGACATACAAAGAAACATATGAACCATTCTTTTCATTAAACCTTTTGCGAAACAAGAATTGGCGGTGCATAGTTTTAAAACTGATTTACTTACTACTACACCCATTCAGATATGTTTGAATAACTTCAACTAAAATATTATCTTTATATAATTCAGTGTTAATTTTAATCATTTATTTATATATAATATTAATATTATAATATTTTTTTAGTTTTGTACTTTAAACGCCCCTTACAACTAAGCATCGCCCCCAAAATACACCAAAGCCCATCACCGCCCCCAAAATACACCAAAGCCCATCACCGCCCCCCAGAATCGCCGCATCGCCCCCAAGGAGGCGCTGGCGCCTACTTTGGGAATCACTGCACTAAAGGAACGCATTTTGGATGCCATTACAGGACAGAATCATATCCATATTTCATTTGAGTTATTATAAGGTCATTACCAAATTTTAGACATTCTATTTCTTTCTATATTTATCATAATATAAATTTTTATGTTATTTCCATATTTTCTATATCAAACTTTCCATGTTATATAATATTTAACTAGAAAAATTTAATTGTAACTAGTGTGTGATATTTTACTACATTTTTTACATTCCATTTCAATTACTATTTCTACTATTTCCAAATTGATCACACTAATTGCAATTATATTTTTATTATTATACTATATTTTACTATATCATACTATTTTAAGTAATTCCATATCTTGTTTTCTAAATCTAGACTATAGCTGTGTTTTGTGTGTGAAAGTATCATATTTACTAAATCTACTATTTCTTACAAATTACTATTTCTATTTTTTATATCCAATTTGATCACACATTTTACAACTATATTCTTAATATTTACTATATTCAAAATCAATATTTACTATATTCAAAGCAAATTCTAATTCTACTATATTCTAATTACTATTTTCCTTCATTAAAATTTATACTATCATTATACCATAACTAAAAATTTATAGAACTTGATTGTGATATAGTGTAAATTACTATATTTTACTATTTCATTATACTGTATTTTACTATTTCATTACACTATATCTACTAAATCATCATACTATATTATTAATTCC